ATTTGATATGATAAAAGTATTCAACTACAAAAGTAAATAATTTTACTTTATAATTTATTAATTTTTTAACTCTATTTCTGTGTGCTACTACCAGTCTATAATATGCCAAATTTTTTTGTAATATGTTGCTATATAAATCATAAATTTAAAAAAAAAATGATTTTTAGTTTCACTTGAATTTAACGATGGATTTTTACAATAATAATTATATTTTATAATACGCTCAATTGAGTAAATCTTTTTAACTACTTTGTTTTGATTGGTTCATTTAGTTAAAGTAAATTATTAAAATTTAATTACTAAAATTATTATGTAATCATATATTATAGATATAAATCGGGGTAAAATTAAGGGAATAAGTGTTATTGTTGTTTTTGAAATAATCTACCAATTTCATTTTTTTCTATTTAATAATATTTATTTCAAACTTGCAAGTTGAGTTAAAAGTTATGGTAATAAATTCATTTTTTTTTTATTAAAACTTTCACTTTAAAGAACAAAAAGAAGTAGGTTCAAAATGATTACTTTTAACATATTAAAAATCAATAATAATTTGAAAATAATTAATTATAAAAATTATATAATATATAATTAAAATAATTACTAATCTGGATATAATTAAGGAAATAGGAGTTGATGTTGGGTTGGGTTGGTTACATTTTTAACTTTATAATGCTATAACTCATTGAAAAGTGTACGAATCAACACAATTTTTTTATGAGAAATAATATTTTTTAATAATCCCTTTTTCATTCGACATACTTTATCTTAATCAGGGTATTAATAAGAAACTAGCAGATAATGTAGCTTTTGTAATTATCCACCAATTTCTTAGAATTAAACACTATCTACTGATTTGCATCGAAGCGTTTCTTATGATAGTGATTTTAATCACTGTCAGATTAAATCTATACTGGACCCAACTATGCAACATCCCCACTATGCCCCGACCCCACTGTGCTGGGTTTTTTTTAAAATAAACACTATCTAAAGATTTGCATCGAAGCGTTTTTTTTTTATAGTGATTTTAATCACTGTCAGATATCATAATACTTGATCCAACTGTGCCACGTCACCACTGTGCCACGACCCCCCTGTGCTGGGTTTTTTTAAATGAGAATACATATTTTGAATTAAATATTTAATTTAATAGCAAATGGCATTTGAATTTCTAATATAACTTTATTCGATTTATTAGATATTAACACTTAAAGTTTCAAATTATTGAGTTAATATACATGTATAATACTGTAGGGATTAAAATTATAGGTAGCTAATTGGTTTTTTATGATATCGATATTAGCAGGTACAAAGGATTGTTATTATCAATGGTAGTAAGGCACATTGTTGTGCGTTTATAAATACACTAACTGACAATACAGAATGTATATCTATTGATAGTCATAATTGATAATGAACAATCCGTGACTGTGACAGCAATGTCATAAAAAAACCATTAGCTACCTGTAATTTTAATCCCTAGTGTATTATACATGTATATTAACTCAATAATTTGAAACTTCAAGTGTTAATATCTAATAAACGAAAGTATATCGACTGATGGTCATAATTAATAATAAACAATTACGTGACTGTGTCAGCAATGCCATAAAAAACAAATTAGTTATACTAAAAATTCAAATGTCATTTACTATTAATATAATAACTCTAACATTTTATTTAATTCAAAATATGTATTCTCATTTAAAAAAACTCAAGTTAATGTTTTTTAACCTTGAAGGGATGAAAAATATCATGTTTTTACTACATATTATTGTAGTGTTTTTTGAATCAAACAATATTTTCCTTACCAAAAATTAAAAATTTTCAATAGTTACTGAGTAAACGAGTGTCTTATCCTTAATGAATCACCCTGAATATAAAAGTGTTAGACCTTCCAGAACACTTTCATAAGTTTAGTTGAAAAAGTTCTACTTTCTATATGCATTTTTTAGATTTAAAACCCTCTCGTATACAGGGAAATGGTCCTATTTAAAAAAAACAGTATGTCAAATGAACGATGTATATAAATACTACTTCTCATGAAAAAATTGTATTGATCCATACATTTTTCAAAAAGTTATAGCATAATAAAGTTGAAAATGGAATATACTAAATCGAAAATTTTCACACAAAAATAGCATTCGGTAGCCATTTTCACCGTGATGATAAGATAAAGTCCGAAATTTTTTTTACTAAAAACTGCCATAACTTTTTCAAAAATGAACATATCAATATAATTTTTTTTTTTATAGATGCATAATATCTTTACCTATCATTTGGTATCTTTTTTTTGTAAATATGACACTTAACCTGGCCACAGGGGGGGATTCAAAATGACAACTTTTTCACAAAAAATTGACTTTTTCAACTTAAATTTTGAAAGTGTTTCGGAAAGTCTGACACTTTTATATATATCTTAAATTAAAGCTAATGTAATTTACTTTATTATGCAAAAAAAAAATTTCGGAATTTATTTTATCTTCATGGTGAAAATGGCTACCGAATGCTATTATTGTGTGAAAATTTTCGATTTTATTTTTTACATTTTTAACTTTATGAATAAAGTGTATGGATCAACATAATTTTTTTATGAGAAATAATATTTTTTAATAATCCCTTTTTCATTCGACATACTTTATCATAATTAGGATATTAATAATGAACTAGCAGATCATGTAGCTTTAGGAATAATCCACCAATTTTTTAAAATAAACACTATCTAAAGATTTGCATCGAAGCGTTTTTTTTGAAAATGATTTTAATCACTGTCAGATATAATTAAACTTGATCCATCTGTGCTACGTCACTACTGTGCCGCGACCCCCCTGTGCTGGGTTTTTTATTTTCTATTTTGTGAGTTGTTCCAATTAAGAATTTTTTTAATTCTTCAATTGGATTGTCTATTTAATAAGTAAATTTCGAAAATCTACCAAAAACATCAAGTGGTTAAAACTATTGGTAAAACAATGGTTTATGACATGTCACTAAGGAGATCGTAGAGTGTATCATAAATTTAGATAGAAAGTGTTTGATTGATTGCACAAGATGCTGATAGTTTTTTGAAATCATTATCCTAGAACATCAAGTGGTTAAAACTATGCTACGACCCCCTTGTGATGGGTTTTTTTTTATGAAGTCGCCATTTATAGATTCGCAGCTGTTATTGTCAATTATATCTTTATCCACAGATTTGATTGATTTGATTTGACCTTAGTGAGACTGTAAGGAACATTGATGTGAGATAGCATTCATAAATACATTAACTGGCAAAACAGAAAACATATCTGTAGATAGTCATAATTGACAATAAACGCTACGTATCTGTGATAGCAATATCATAAAAAAACAATTAGCTTCCAGTTTTTATCATCTATCTTATATTATACATGTATATTAACTTAAATATTTAAAGCTTTGTATATCTAATAAACGAATAAAATTATGTTAAAAACTCAAATGCTATTTTCTATTAAAATAAATTCTCAATCATTTTATTAAATTCAAAATATGTGTTTCTATTTTAGAAAACTAAGTTGATTTTAACAAGGTATGAGGAATGAACTTAAAATGTATTACATAGCTAATAGTTCAAAAATAATATGTAAATAAAGCTATCAAAAAATAAAAAAGTATTTTAAAATAATTATTATTCTGTAAATAATTTTGTGATAATGATGAAATTTGTATACTGTATACATATTATATAATAGTATGAATAATAGTCTATAATAATAATCATAACCGAAAAAGTAATAATAGCAGGTTATTGATATAAATGTCTTTTTTAAAACTTATATATTAGTAATATTATAAAATTTTATTTAAATTTTTTAAAAATATTCAAACTGGAAGTTCTTAATACGTATATTAAAACTTAATTAGCTCATATTTACTGAATTAATATTTTTCATTTTTATTTTCAAAAATGATGTTGCTTTTTAAAAAAAATATAATATGTTTTTTAATATGCTCGGTTCAAGTTATTGAAGCACCAAGAGTTTTTTCAAAAAAAAAAAATATTCATGATGCAAAAGTTATTTACACTTTTTTTAAAAATGTATGCTGGCAAAATTTAAATTACGTTACTACTGTTAAGTATTTCGGAGATTATCATACAAAACAAGATATTTTAGAATTACCTTTTGATCGCGATAATTATTCAACAAGAATAAGAATTGCCACTCTATTTCTTGGTTGCTCATACGCTAAAGATCTACAGTATATTTTTTTCATGCTGCAAAATTTATGTACCTGCTGTCAAAGCATTACTGACCCTAAAAAAATGTATAATTGTTCTGTAGAGATTATAAATAATACTCTTGCAATTATTCCAATGTTAAAAAAAATGAAAGGAGCTATGGATACTATCGAAAAATACCATATTCAACCATGGAATACAAATCTTGTAATTCGTTATATGATGAGTTCTGTTTTTGAATCTTATGGTTCTGTTAAAAAATCATTCAACAATTTGCAACCCTCACAGGACGATCCTGAAATAACAAAATCAGTATTAGAGTATATTAATAACTCTTTAATTCCATATAAGACAATTACAAATAATGAAATTGATAAATTTTGTGTAATTGAACACGTGGACCTAAACTTATTGTGGAATGAATACAGATACAGAGCATCTCATAATACAAACATAGAATTTCATCATTATGTTAATGAAGAAGTTAGAAATAAAATATACAATACAATTATTAATAAATTTTTCAGACTAGGTTTCTTGTATAATATCCAAACTGAAATGGTTTCTATTCCATTAGAAATTACTTTACCTGATGATAATAAAGGTAACATTTTGTTATACTTATGAAAAAAATATCAACAACTATCATTATTTTTATTAAATCATAACAAATTTATAATATTTTATTTAGAAATCAATTTAAATAACTCAACCACTAACACTTCAACGAAAACCCTATTCATCGAACAAGAAGATATTTTTTTTTATTACTTACAGTAATTTTATCTGAGCGTTTCAAATGTTTTAATTTTAATTATTTGTTTAGGATTTACTAGTTATGCTAATTTAGATGAGAACTATTTAAAATCAATTCTGCATCATGAAGGTACATATTTATTTGTAAATTTTATCATGGTTGATTACTTAAATATTAATATTTGATTTAATATGTTAAATTAAAACATTTTCTATTTTTTGGATTGCGTTTTCTTCAATTTAGAACTCAGATACATAACTAACTTAACAACAATAGATTATCAGGAAGGTAAAATTAAATTATTTATAGTCAATTTTAATTACAACATATTTGTTGACTAACTGTTCTATCCATAACTTATTTTCAGAAAATCAAATAAATTATGAAACTGGGGAAAGTTCACAACAAAATGATTTGAACGATAAACCTTTTTATACGTTTATTTGAAGTTCCTATATTGAATTCACTTGGCAATTTTTTCGTTCAACAAAATTACGTTATGTATTATATATATATCAATATCATGGTAATATAAAATAAATGTTTAAAAGGCTTAACTAAAAATGCTGAAATATATTAAATATTTTATGTGCTTCTATTAAGTTATAGTAATTATTTAAATAATTTTGTGTACCGAAATTATCAATTGCTTTATCCGCCATATCCAATATACAAGATAATTATTTTCACCTAGACAATGGATATTTCTCAAAATAATAATAATTTTGAACGTTTTTTTTTTTTTAGATTTTTTAGTTATTTATAAATTTACATTTATTTGTTATCAGTTAGTTTTAGATTCATCACTTATAAGATTATCAATTATGTTTTTACAAATGGAAACATATTTTAAGTTTGATAAATTGATAGTGATCGTATTTTTTATTCATATTTATTTATTTGCTTGTTATTCACTTTAAAATTACAATTATTCGAAATTGTACACGTGTATAAAATAAACGTGACTTTAAATACAGGTAGCTAATTGTAACATTTATGATTTACTACTAATGCGTCAATTATTGCTTTATCGTTAAAATTAATGTTCACGCCAGGCAGTAGTGCCGCCTCCGTGGTCAGCTGATACCACTGTCGGCCTTATCAGTGGAGCCGGTTCGGTGACCATCGGTCGGCGGCTGCCCGAACACGGTTTTAGTTTTGTGTGTGTTGTTCGGATTATTATCTTTTTTAACCTCGGAGTTGCTTTTTCGGTCGGCGGTGCCCCGAGCACATGCTTTTATTATGTCGCTCGCTCGGATTATTAAGTCACAGTGGTGACTGTGTTGTTCGTTGTCGGTTATTCATTTTATTATTATTATTGCAACGGTTCGAGGGTCNATTTTATTATTATTATTATTGCAACGGTTCGAGGGTCGCATTTCGAAGAGTTTCTTCGCCTTGGGTTTGTGTACAATTGATGTACCGGTGGAATTTGGTGACTATCATATAGCGGATCGAATAAGCATCGGCGACTTGACAATATTTAGCAAGAGGTGAAGAGAACAGTAATCAGGTCGGATCGAATCAAAATATTTTTGTATATATATTTAATTTATTTGTATGAAACATTGTTTAAAGCAGGGGACGCCCAAACTTTTTATTATTATAAGCTGATTGTTAAAATATAGCATAATTATTTATTCCACTGCGTAATTGTGTGAAACAATTAATGTATTACATTTTTATAACAAACGGATATTTAAGAATATGATATTTTAGGAAATATGAAGTAGTTTTATTTTCTTATCAAATTATTAGGTATAGAATACTTTAATAGAGAATAAAATAATAAAAGTTGAAAAATTCTAGTTTATCAATTATTTGCATACGAGTTTGTGTAATATATTTATAACCCTGCTCATACTTATTTTTAACTCTTCTATAGTAATGACGCATCAAATTGCTAATACTACATGTGTACTTTCTTATTTGTTCATTCAAAATGTGTAGTTTTTTATATTTCACGGCTTGACTTAAAAAATTATGGTTCGTAACATTATAACAAATATTATACAGTAAATAAAATAAATGTATAGCAATAATATCATAGTTATACCAATCATAAATGAAAAATATCCTTCATAACTTGATGTGCCAGTTCAAAACTGCAATAATTCAAAAAATTTAATTTTCCCATTTAATGATTTAAACAAGGATTTTCCTTTCCTGAATATCGGATATATTCAATGAAAACTTTAATTTTAAAAACTTCACTATCTAAAATATAACTTAGTTGCATTGAATTGGATTTATCAACGTTAAATGTTGAAGAAACTTAGATATCAAAATTTAAAATCTAAACTTTTCGAGTTGTTGTAATTTTTAACTGGGACGTTGAAATAATTAAGTAAAACGTAAAATAAATATCCTAAATGGTTGTTACACTTTAATNATATCCTAAATGATTGTTACACTTTAATTGTTCTATATAATTACATACATTATATCTAAAATAAATCAATTATACACGAGATGTATTCGACGTAATGACAGTATTCAGACTTAAGTTACACAGTGTTCATATTAAAATGTACCCATACTATATACGTAGTTTAAATTTAACAAACGCTCAATATTATCAGTATTCAAACTTAAGCTTTNACAAACGCTCAATATTATCAGTATTCAAACATCAGCTATTCAAAGTATAAACGGTAAATATATTAAGATTCATCTGAATAAAATTCAATATTGAGCTAAGTAATTAGTGTACTACACGTTTTATAAACGTTAAAAAGAGTTACTATTCTAAAAAATTTTTAAAAATAAATTAAGCATAAGTATAAAATTAACCTATATTCTATATCAGTAAATGTACAAAAATATGTTTAATAGACGTTTTAATTATACATCATTTTCTACTGAATAAAATTTCCACTCCAACAATAAATATCTAGTAAACAGCATGTAATTTATTATAAAAAGTGTTGATACTGTCTATTATCAAAAATAAGGAAAAATCAATCATACATATTTAGCTAATTTTTTACAAGTTTTTATATTGTGGTAAACTGGGTTTTCTACGTCCAATTTGCCCACGCGGATGAGTGATTCGAGAAGAGTCAAAATAATAACTATAATGTAACATTCATTGATTGTACAGTGACCACCGAGTGAGTGGTCAGGTCCCTTTTTAACACGCTTATATTAGTTTCACTTGTATGTATGTATGTATGTATGTATGTATGTATGTATGTATGTATGTATGTATGTATGTATGTTTGTAACTCTCCAAACGCCACGCGTTATCGCATATTCCGTCGTCTAGACTAGACTGTCATAACGCATTCACCCCACCCCACGCCGCGCTCATCACACGACGACAACACTATTCCTCTGTATAAATTTATTTTTGGTTATCGTACCCGTGTGCTTGTCATCAATATTATATATATATAAACAAATTTTTATTTTGACTGACCAATACTATCCGCGTACCATACGGCTTACGTATATATTCCTACTGCCGTTTATACCTCAAGTATAACGTTAGTCCGACACGCCCGCCAACAAAACACAGCTATACCTAGTGCATGATACTTTTACGTAGTTAAGTCGCATTATTTGTATATATATATATTCTAATTACTATTAAAAATATATATTAACACACTTTATTCTAATTAAGAGATATAAAGTATTCATTCCGATTTCGAGGGATGTTTTCCGTATTGTCATTTTTCGTCACTACCTCCATGTTCCGGGAGTGGGAAATTTGCGCGCCTGCTGCTTTCCTTGGATGTGGTAGCCGTTTCTCAGACTCCCTCCCCGGAATCGAACCCTGATTTCCCGTTACCCGTAACAACCATGATATTGATAGTAACTACTATCATAACATGAAACTAAAAAGTAAAAAATAAATATAGTTTAAAAAACTAAAAAAACACGCTTTTAAAGCACATCGAACTAAAAAGT